TGTGTACAAAGGACAAGCATGTAATTGCTAAAATACATTGACTTTTAATGAAATTTAGAAAAGAGAAAAATAACAGTTAATTTATCTGATGTATATGCATAATTAACCATTGGTCTGTGTACTTTGATTCAGTTTAGGTTGTAAAGGTCAATAAGAAAATAAGATAGTGACCCTTCCATATATACACACAACAGAGCAAATCCCTGATTTGAAAAGAAACATTCTTTTCCCTATTTCAGTTTTTAATTGTAAATTGCCCAAAGTCTCTCTGGAGTCAGGCAACCTTGAAATAAAAAGATAAATAATGAATAAATGTGATATACTATCACAGTTACCATTTTGACTTTTTCACAATAACCTGTCCTGGAAGAATGAAGGAAAAACTCAATCTTTTATTATTATATTGTTTAAAACACATGTTATATTATTTTGGTGCAGTGGTATTTACAGAATATTGACTCAAATTTATTATCACCCTAATGCTTAGATAACTTAGACATAAGGATAGGAAAAAAGAGGTATTATCAATATTAATTGTTATTTAAAATGTCAATGTTAATAGGCATAAGATTATTTAGCTTTTTCATCCAGAACTGAATAAAACATTACAGTAAAGAAAAAAAAAACCCCGACAAATTTCATCAAAACATTTGTTCTCCAATAAGAGTTTCTGTCTTAAGCTGATTACTCTACCATGAAGGTCTTTACTGTGTTCCTAATTATCATTATTGGTGCAGGTTGAAAAAAATAGACAAAGCAAACAACTAAAAAGAAAGTTGGAGAAAAAAAGAGAGGAAAACAGGCTATTTGGTTTCTAACTTTCCCATTTGTGTGCTTCTGCTAATTTATGACATTTATAAGCATGGAGGCTCCCTTAGAAATCAAACTGGAAATGCTTATATCTGTCAAGTTGCATGATGTATTGTATATATGGGAACCATTCTTGCTTAAGATAAAGGTAAAGGTTCCCCTCGCACATATGTGCTAGTCATTCTACGGGGCGGTGCTCATCTCTGTTTCAAAACCGAAGGGCCAGCGCTGTCTGAAAACGTCTCCGTGGTCATGTGGCTGGCATGACTAAACGCCAAAGGCGCACAGAATACTATTACCTTCCCACCAAAGGTGCTCCTTATTTTTCTACTTGCATTTTTTACGTGCTTTCAAACTGCTAGGTTGGCAGAAGCTGGGACAAGTAACTGGAGCTCACCCTATTAAGCGGCACTAGGGATTCAAACCGCTGAACTGCCGACCTTTCGATCGACAAACTCAGTGTCTTAGACACTGAGCCACTGACTCCCTCATTCTTGCTTACATTTGGTTAAACTGTTGGGAAAGTCAGTCTTAAACGTCCTACTCTTCTTTAGCAGAAGAGCTTGTTCGGTCTGCCATCATCTTTACATGACATGCTCTCGTGTGCCTCTACTTGTGTCCCCATCCCTTGAGATGTGTTGTCGCTTGCCACATCAGCTGAACGTATTCAATATGCAGCCATCGTATTGAATTTCCAGAAACGGGGATGTCACCCAAGGATTTTGCAAGGCAACAAGCTCTCATTTCGAGCAGCTCACCTCTCAGTCAAATGCACGCTTGCTTAAAGAGCTGTTGGGGAAGACTGATAAAATGCAGTACAAATGCTCATGTAGTACTTAATAAAACCTCTGACTTTAATATCTCATTCAATCACAGCTTACCCTTTCTTGCTAAGGCCTGAGTCAGATGAAGCTTGTTCAGCCTCTCTAGCTAGAAGAGGGAGAAAAACAGTGCATTGCTAGAGAATTGACAGGTAATAAGACGCTCCATTGATGGAAGTTGCTGCAATCAAAAACCTAATAGCAAAACTCTCTCAACACAGCAGTCATTAGCACAAAGATTACTGCATTAGCACCGAACAGCGGCATATGATTTTCACCTTTATTATAGAAAAACAAGGGAAGATGCCAACAAACCACAGCAGGACCAGATGTTCGGTTATGTCATGGCAGCAAGGTAGTTTAACCGATCATGATAAATGACTAGATGGCCTCCACCTTCTGTTTCACAATTTCCAAGGGAAAGTTTTAAAGCATGATAAATATTTAGCTAGGCTGTTCGGCTGAGACATATGCAAATTTGCATAACAGTCATCAAGGCGATGGGCATGCATTGTAACAACTTCTAACAGGATAGAACTGGATGTATGAGGAGTGTATGGGTGAAAAGGTATTGACAATGCTGGTTAGCAAAAGCAAATAACAGCACCTTCCAAAAATAACAGGCAGCTGCCATTAGAAGCAGGATTTTCTTCCATCTTCTTTTAAATGAATGTAGTTTTATTCATTCAGTCATTCATTCATCCATCCATCCATCCCTCCATCCATAACATTGATTCAAGCATTCTGAAACTCTTTTTTATAAAGAGTTTTTATAATGGACCAAGGAGTTGGTATTTGCATGAATACAGTAACCTGTTTTGGCTAAACACTTGTTTCTGCACATTTATCAAGATTCCTCTAACTCAGGTTGGCTTCCTAGGATTTATAGGGATATTTTCCTCTTTTAATTACTTTCAATGACATGCCAAAATAATTTATAAGGGAATGTCTGGTAGTATTTACATAGTTTATAAACGCTCTAGGCCAGGGCTGTCAAACTCCCAGCCCATGGGCTGGATGCGTTATGCACTGGCCACGCCCACACCCAGTTTAACCATCCCGATATGTCATGTGACGATGTGATGATGTGAATTTGACACCCTTGCTCTAGGCTCATCAGTAGCTTTCAAATGTGCAGAAACTGTCATTAATACTCTCCCCAAATACTAGCAGAGAATGCCTAGTCACAAAGTTGTTTCATAGAATAACAGAGTTGGAAGGGACCTTGGAGGTCATCTAGTCCACCCTCTGCTCAAATAGGAGACCTTATACTATTTTAGACAAATCGCTCTCCAGTCTTTTCTTGAAAGCCTCCAGTGATGGGGAACCCAGAATTCCTGAAGGCAAGCCATTCCACTGGTTGACTGTTCTCACCCTTAGGAAATTTCTCCTTCGTTCTAGGTTGCTTCTCTCCTTGATTAGGTTCCATCCACTGTTTTTGTTTTGCCTTCCGGTGGTTTGGAAAATAGTTTGACCCCCCTCATTCTTGTGGCATCCCCTCAAATATTGGAACACTGCTACCATGTCTCCCCTAATTCTTCTTTACACTAGACTAGACATACACAATTCCTGCAACTGTTCTTCCTACGTTTTAGCCTCCAGCACCATAATAATCTTTGTTGCTCTTTTTTTTTTTGCATTCTTCTGCACTCCTGACTCAATATCTTTTTTTATATTGTGAAGATCATGGGATGTGACATGGTCGCTTTCTCCCAAGTTCCTGCAACTTCAATCCCCTCTTTCACTTCTTCTCTGTTGGTAAGAGTAAGTTACCAGTTGCCTCCTCCTCTTGTTATCCTGGACTGAACAGTAGAGTGGTAAAATTGTTCTTATCCTCAAGCTTTCAACTGCTCACTACTCTCCCTTATTTTTGTTTCCAACAAACACACTTCAACACAAGGAACAGAATTAGCCATCATATTTATTTCTTAAAATATTCTATGGGATTCACACGGTCTTGGGGACAGTCTCAAAAAAAGATTTACAGCATTGTTTAACTACCCGTGTTTTCCCGAAAATAAGACCCTGTCTTATATTTTTTTGAACCCCAAAATAAGCGCTTGGCCTTATTTTTGAGGAAGTCTTATTATTTTGGGGTGCGTGGAGCAAGATGGGGCTCCTCTTGCCGTCTTACCTGACTTCTAGCTCTGCGTTTAAATATTTTTGGGGAGGGCTTATTTTCAGGGGCAGGCTTATTTTAGCGGATGCACTCAAAAGCCCAATTGGGCTTATTATCAGGGGATCTTTTATTTTCGGGGAAACAGGGTATGTTTAAATAAAGTAATCCATCTATCCTAGACTTATGAATGGCAGTTCATTTGCCTTGCAGTTGTAATAAATTCATCCAGTTTATCTTATATCCTAATTCAGTCCAGGCTCAATAAGTCACAATTAAGAGAAGATAGCATTAGAAGGATACAAGTCAGAAGCCAATAACTTTAACAATTTATTACCATCTCTTAAAATACAACAGACTATCTCTTCATCCTAGATTCCAGCTCATTCTCTATAAACAGATCTTTAAAGCCTCATCACTAATCAGCAAAAGTCCATTAAAGGTCATCAGAAATAGAAACAATACAAACGAAATATAACAAACCCACTTAAAATCCTTCTTTTTTACATTTATATCTCATTTTCTATCATTAAAGAAAGGCTCCACACTGCATTCTTCACATCTAGTCAGTAAAAATCCAATATCAGAAATAACAGCAGTAGTTTAACACTATTTGTCTTAATCAAATAACCTTAAAATGCAACAAATGAACTGTTTCATGTATCTCATCTTTCACAGATCAACAAAACATTTAAAACATCATCGTGTGGTCCTAATCAGCAAAAATCCATTGCATAAAAACCCATCTATTTTAACCTGACTTAACTTTTCTTTTCTTTTCTTTCTACCAACAATTTTTAATCCCCTCCGATGATATCCTAACATCTGCTCACTTTTCATGTACTTTTTGTCTCTCCTGACAAAATCACTGACAACTTTGTGGTATTCAGCAAGTTCAGCAAGGTGGTATTCAGCAGGTTCTGATCAGTTCTGGAGAACCGGTAGCAGAAATTTTGAGTAGTTCAGAGAACCAGTAAATACCACCTCTGACTGGCCCCCATCTATTCTCTGCCTCCCAAGTCCCAGCTGATCAGGAGGAAATGGGGATTTTGCAGTAACCTTCCCTTGGAGTAGGATGGGAATGGAGATTTTACAGTATCCTTCCCTTGAAGTGGGATGGGAATGGAGATTTTACAGTATCCTTCCCCTGCCACGCCAACCAAGCCACGCCCACCAAGCCATGTCACGCCTACCAAGCCACACCCACAGAACTGGTAGTAAAAGAATTTGAATCCCACCACTGGTCAAGTCCAGTGGTGGGTTCTAATCAGTTTTACCACCATTTCGCATCGCGCACGTGCTTTGCGCACGATCGCTACTCGCATGTGTGCCGAACTTGCACTTTGCGCAAGCGCATTAAGTAAAAACACAGCTGAGGCAGGCAATACACTCTGCCATGCCTTACAGCTGACCAAAAAACAAAAGAAATAAAGGTGGGTAGGGCGCGGGGGGGGGGGGGGGGGCCCAACTGATATTAAAAACGAACCGGTTCGCTCTCCTATGAAGATTTCCACTACCGGCTCTCCCGAACCGGGGAGAACCGGTAGCAACCTACCACTAGTCAAGTCCCTATCATGGGCTCAGAGCTGGGCTCCAAGGTGTGGTCAGATCAGGTCCTACTGGGGTGCTGCACCTATTGATTAAATAGCACTGAATCTAATACAACCTATCCCTTCTCAACCAGAACTGATCCTTTTAATAACAGGAAACCAAGAAGGAGGTAGGACAAACTCACCTGGCCTGAGAATCCAACACCTCAGCAAAGTATGCACCTCATGAGCAAGCAGAGAGATGCTGCTTCTGTAAGCATCTGCCTTCCATTGCGGAAATAAAATTTAGCATCTGGCTTTGTGAATTCTTGTTCTTGATTCCTGCTTTGTTTTGACCTTGGTGTGTTCCTGGCCAAGTCTCGGACTCATCCTTCAGTACCTTTTCAAGCTATCATGTTGTATTGGATTATGGACTGTCTACTCAGATTATGCTTTCTTCTCAGCTCCTAGTAAACTGTCATGCACACAGATGCTCTTTATCTTATTTTCTCAACTCTTCCTCTATTGTCTACCCTGCCTATCTGCTCCCATCTCTCCAGACAAGCCTTCCTGATGTTTTTTACAAGTCTTGCTACACATGCATTGCTCCTAAATGCAGTGTGGGTGTATTCTTATCCTGCACCCCTGCAAACCTTGCCCCCCCCCCAAGTGCCTGTATCTCACCCCAACTTTTCCTACCTATTGCATGAGTTTTCTACCTTCGTTGAAGCTAGGACACGAAAGTCCCTTTTATAAATCCAGTATAAAATCTTATCCAAATGACTCTTCTAGTTTAGTATTGGTATGTCTTTTTCAGCTGGTTTCATTTGTATATCTTTATGATTGAAGCTTCTGCCAATCTAGCAGTTCGAAAGCACATAAAAAATGCAAGTAGAAAAATAGGCACCACCTTTGGTGGGAAGGTAACAATGTTCCGTGAGCCTTTGAGGTTTAGTCATGCTGGCCACATGACCATGGAGATGTCTTCGAACAGCGATGGCTCTTCAGCTTTGAAACGGAGATGAGCACCGCCCCCTAGAGTCAGGAATGACTAGCACATATGTGCAAAGGGAACCTTTACGTTATGATTGAAGAAAACTCCAATAAAATTTGCCATTACAAAAGTTCCCATTCTTTAAAATGTTGTCAATAAATTAAATCCAAAGAGAATAAGAAACAAGGTTTGGTCAAATCTGGAATGTGTACATAGATTAAACTGATGGCTATAAGCTTGATGAAATCTAGTGACACCCAGCAGTTCTCAAGCCAATTGTAAAAAGCTTGGTTCCTGACCTCTGCTCATGAAAAACAGCTGCATAGAGTACATACGGGCAATCTCAAGAAGAACTTTTGGACCATGACCTGAAGATATCTATATCTATGTCTATGTCTATGTCTATGTCTATGTCTATGTCTATGTCTATGTCTATGTCTATGTCTATGTCTATGTCTATGTCTATGTCTATGTCTATGTCTGTCTGTCTGTCTGTCTGTCTGTCTGTCTGTCTATCTATCCATCATCTATCTATCTATCTATCTATCTATCTATCTATCTATCTATCTATCTATCTATCTATCTATCTATCTATCTATCTACAGTATCTATCTATTTATCTATCTCAGTTATATTTGATTATAACTGATAGCAACAACCACTTTAACCTTATCTTAGAAAAGTAAGGTGGGATCAGACCTGGTTAGTATATGGATGGATGAAGACTCTCAGGAAATCCTAGGGTTGCAAACTAATGGGAAGTTAAAAAATAATATTGGAAGAAAGCAATGGAAAACCATTTCTGTATTGTTACTTTGAGGTTGGTGAGACAGGACTTCTCAGTAATTCTCAGGCTAGATCTGGCTGTTTTATAAAGTTACCAAGAGCTGCTTTGTTTCAAAGCCTCCAAGACTTCTTATTGATTATGGACCATCTTATTGATTATGAGCCACAGTGGTTGAAGGTTAGAGTGCTGTACTGCAGGCTACCTCTGTTGACTGCCGGCTGCCTGCAATTTGTCAGTTCGAATCTCACCAGGCTCAAGGTGGACTCAGCCTTCTGTCCTTCTGAGGTTGGTAAAATGAGGACCCAGATTGTTGGGGGCAATAGGTTGACACTGTAAACCATTTAGAGAGGGCTGTAAAGCACTGTGAAGTTGTATATGCCATATTTTTTGGAGTATAAGACACTCCAGAGTATCAGACACACATTAGTTTTTGGGGAGGAAAACAAGAAAAAAAATTCTGTCTCTGCCTACCAGTATTCATCAGTATTCATCTGGCTAGCATCCTTGCAGCAAACAGCAAACAGCCTGGTCAGCTTCAGCACGTTATTGCAGCCTGATTCACTGAGGCCAAAAACGGGGCATGCAGAGGCGGAAAACACGATGTGCGGAGGCGGCGATCGGCGGTGATGTGCTGTGGCGATTCCCGCAGCCTGGGACGGGTCTAAAACGGAGTGTGCAGAGGCTGAAAACACAACACGGAGGTCGAAAACAGCTGAAGGGTGGGGAGCAGCGGGTGGGTGGGGCTTCGGGAACATTCCCTATATAAGATACACCACAATTTTCACACACTTTTGGGTGGGGGAAGAAAGTGCATCTTATACTCCAAAAAATACGGTAAGTCTAAGTGCTATTGCTTTTGCTATCAAGTTGGGACGATATTAGACCTTCTCTAATATGGTCTGACCTCCAACCCATTGCTGCTGAAATTGAGTCCGTTCACCTTGCTGACAGTCATCTTTTTCTTCTTTCCTTCCACTATTCCAGCATCCTGAGAAAGAGAGCTGAATAACTATTCCTTAATTCAAAAGGGCAGGAGAAACAAATCTTGACTATTGAGATTATATACATATTCCTACCATATTTGCATTGCAGTGGCCAACCAGGGGTGAAATCCAGCAGGTTTTGACAGGTTCTGGAGAACTGATAGCGGAAATTTTGAGTAGTTCGGAGAACCGGTAGCAGAAATTTTGAGTAGTTCAGAGAACCGGCAAATGCCACCTCTGGCTCGCCCCAGGGGTTGTGAAGTTTCCGAAAGATGCCCTAATTAATTCATGAGCCATGAGCCGAACTTCAGAAGAAATACAGTCATTTATTAGGAGCACCATTTCGGCATTATTCGGATGCAGTTAGAACTAATCCCACGTAGATTTACGTTCCCCTATGACCCTGTCTCTCCCCTCCTCTCTGGCCATGTCATAAATCACATTCTCCAATTAACCACTTTGGCTGGCTGTGAAATCCATCACCCTCCTTCTGATTGCGGTCAGGAAGAATGTATGGAATGCACTTCAGTTAGGGAAATCAATCAGCTCTATCAGTTCTCCCTCCCTCCTGCTCATGGCAACTTGAAAGCTTTGCAAGTTGACAGAGGTGGGAATGGAGATTTTGCAATATCCTTCCCCCAGGAGTGGGGAAGGAATGGGGATTTTGCAGTATCCTTCCCCTGGAGTGGGGTGGGAATGGAGATTTTGCAGTATCCTTCCCCTGCCACACCCACCAAGCCACACCACGCCCACCAAGCCACACCCATAGAACCGGTAGTAAAAAAAAAATTGGATTTCACCAATTTGGTGAAATCCAATTTTCACCAATGGCCAACCAATGTCTATGCATGCCCTCTGCGATAAAAAGCCAATCAAATTTGTGAATCTTCTGTTAAGGCAAGCTGAGAAACTGAGGGAAGGCTGAACTCTCAAGAGTTTGCTAATTTATTGCTAAACCCAGCTGTAAAGCTTGACAGTTGGCCAAAAAAATCCCAATACGGATGTTCCATGCGGTCACCAAGAGTTGAATGCACTTCAAGGATGATTTTAAATCCTCAGATCTAGGTCCTCTGCTGCATTTGAATATTTGTTTTCTGAAGGACAAAGAGGGGTGCATGCTAAGTATTCCTTCCTTAAGAGCCAACGCAATTATTATGCAGGGAGGTTCAAAGAGACAAACGGGCATTTTTTTTTTTGAAGTGGGTGTTAGTTTCTGGTAAAAAAAAAAAACATGTTAAAGTCAGGCTAATGGATAAAATGAATTAAAATGCGCCTTTATATGAACTCTGAGTTTATACTTTACTTTACTTTTATTTGATTTATATACCGCCCTACTCCCGAAGGACTCAGGGCGGTGAACAGCCAACAATAAAATACATACATACAAAATTTAAAAAGCAGAGATAAAATCGAATTAAATAATTTGGCCCAGACAGATTTAAAACCCCAATCAATTTAAAACAAATTTAAACTTTGAATATTAAAAATACAAAAAAATATTAAAAAAATATTAAAAATGTTTAAAAAGAGGGAGAAAGTTAGGCCAGGCCTAACCTTATAGAAACCTTATCTGATTTTTTTTTTTTTTCAACCAACTAATGCATTATGTTTCTGCAGGGAGCCAGAGCAGAATGCAGCTGTTCTAGAAGTTCAAATACATTGCTTCCATTTTTTTGCAATTTGCTGTAAATTCAAGGCAGGTTATATTTGGAGACTGGATATGAATCAGAAAAGGGAAAGGAAATGGACATTTTGAGCTGATTTTGTCTCTCTTTAACAAAAAAAAAAACAAAAAAAAAGCTAGACTGTTTCCTTTTGAAACCCAGCATCTTCTCTTCTGCCTTAAACAAGCTGAGGTCCCATGTAAAGTGTGGGGCATAACAAGCTTCTCTGCTGGAAAATGTCATTGCTGGCTGATCTGGTAATTGAAGAATGAGAGGAAATGTCTGGACATGGATGTTAAATTATATTCACCACAAGGGATGCCTTGCCTTGCTTTGCCTGCACAGTTGCTGTATCTCACTGTGGTCATTTTCTCAGCTCAAAACTAATGGCATTTTGTTACATTTTCCCAGCATGGGTATTTTCAGGCACCGTAAGAATAGGTCTAAAGGGTTTACTTCAGAATCTGGGGTGTGATGGAACTTGAAAGCTACCCTGCTTTTCCCCCTCTTTCTTTTCATAAAAGCCATGGACAAAAAAAAAAGTTTGAAAGCCAATTACATAGCATGGAGCCTTGTGAGCGATCTAAGCTGAGAACAGGTTCTCTCTCCCCCTTCTTTGAAAATGCAAACTGAACAATTATCTCTCCCATCACCATCACAAATGCCTTGGTTGAAGATAGAACAAATTTTAATGAGTGTCTATTCGCTGTTGGAGAAATGTATCATGCCTAGGATGTTTTTCTGTGAGGAGAAATAGAGCCATGAAATAAAGCAGGGGTGTCAAACTCGATTTCATTGAGGGCCGCATCAGGGTTGTGTTTGACTTTGGGGGGGGGGCAGGGGGGGGCATGGCCAGCTCAATGTGACTTGTGTCAGGGGCGCCTGTGGC